CCGTGCGCACACGCTAGTCAAGCTACAAAAGTGACTCCCATGGACTGACATCTTGAGCCCTGAGGACGTCAGCAGATAGCTGACGAAAGCTAGGCGTTTTAATTGATTTTATTAGTAATTTTAGTAATTTTAATATTAAACCAAATTATTTTATCATATTCCTTGGTGCTCGTGTTTTCTCACTGTTCTAATATGGAATTACCCAGGGATCACGTTTTTAAAGAAATTTCTGATATATGTTGTTATGTTATGTTAATTATATTTATATCCCGCCCTTCTCCTTGCGGACTCAGGGCGGCTAACAGCCAGATAAAACAACTACAAAAATACAAAATGCTACAGTTAAAAACATAATTAAAAGACAATATTAACATTTGGCCAAGTTATATATCCAATATTGCATTCCAAATAACTTGAAAATGGAAACTTTAAATAAATTAGAAAACAAGACTAAAGATTAACTCTTAAGTAGCTGCTCAGTGTCAAAGGGCATTATTGATTTGATTTGATTTCTTAGACCTGCCAATTGCATACAGAGAGGTTTAAAAGCACATAATTAGCGATTACTTGCTGCTTCAGAACTTCAAATTATGGAACACGTAGTATTATCCCTCTAAAATGCAACTCGGTTCCCTTTATTTTCCAGGATAAAACCTTTTAGGAAAGATGTTCTGGCAAAATGTGTAAGTATCTTTTTTTTCCTGTTTTTGTGAGTCTATAGAGTTTAGCACTTCGTTTTTTAAAAAATCTTCTTAATGTAAATTAGCCACATTTTTTTTTAATAAGATTTAATCCACTTCATTTAAAATTTGAGCCTGGGTTTAAATTCACCTGGAGTGTTTGATATAATTCCCATGGTTTTTTAACTTAACTTGTTATTATTTAGGATAATAGCAATGCAGAAAAAAAAAGTATCCACGTGGACTGGTAGTGTTCTGATTGCTATTATGAGTTATTAATCTGGAGTGAGGGGTCCCTGGTGGTCTCCCAGCTTGTTTCCTTGCAGACGTTTCATTACCAAACTAGGTGGTATCATCAGTGTTAGAAGGGAGTAGGGTGTGTGGAGAGAAGGACAAGGGGGAGGATGAAAGGATTGGGAAGTCCTTGGTGCTCCGAGTTTGTTTTCTTGCAGACGTTTCATTACCCAACTAGGTAACATCATCAAAGCTAGAAGGGAGGGGGATTTGCAGAGAGGAGGAGGACTGTGGGGTCCTTGGTGCTCTCTGTGCTTGGTTGTTTCCTTGCAGACGTTTCATGACCCAACTAGGTAACATCACCAGTGCTAGATTTTACCTATTTTGGGTAAGGAAACGTATGCAAGAAAATAATCAAGCTCAGAGAGCACCAAGGACCCCTCATTTCAACCCTGAGCTACAAATATTCTCCTTTATAATAACAGAATCACAGAGTTGGAAGGGACCTTGGAGGTCATCTAGTCCAACCCCCTGCTCAGGCAGGAAGCCCAACACCATTTCAGACAAGTGGGCGTCCAGTCTCTTCTTTAAAACTTCTAATATTGGAATGGAGCACCCACAGCGTCTGGAAGGAAGCCGTTGCACTTATTCCACTGATCATCTGAAAACATTATTATATTATTATTATTATTATTATTATTATTATTATTATTATTATTATTATTATTATATCTTTTATTCATTAAACGTGAACCTCAGTCAACTGAACATTCAAATTGGCTGGCGCTGATGGTTGACACGGGTTGCTACCAGCATCCTACGTGTCAACCAGGTTCCTCCTTAAAATTATTATTATTGTTATTGTTATTATTATTAACAGTACGGAGGCGATATTACCAGGAAAATGAAACTTTTGAAGAGGCAAGCCGAAGGGAAGAAGAAGATGAGGAGAATTGGGAATGTGGAGGTGCCAAAGGATGCGTTCATCAAAGTTCTCAAGAAGCAGCTCGACAAATAGACGTTGGGCTTCTTGATGACCCGTTGACCCAGCTGTTTACAAACTAGATATTATCCTGAACTTGATCTCATCTATTCGTGTATAGATTTGACACCATCCTACTGCAATTGTTCAATAAAGCACCAAAGCTGATGACTTAAAAATCTGAAATATAGTTTTAAGCATCCGAGAGCCTGACCACCAACGTTTGATGCCATTTCTTAGAATTGTGCCTTTTGAGATCCTGGTGCGTCTTTTCCCATAATTTGACTGCAATCTAGGTCTTGACATTTGCAAGCTCTTGGCTACGCTAGGTAAATAAACCGGGTGTGCAGATACCGGTATCCTCGACTTAACGACCACAGTCGAGCCCAAAGTTTCCGTTGCTAAGTGAGACGTGGGGTGTATGATCGTTTGACGTGTTTCAGTGCTGTTGTAACTTGGAACGGTCACGAAATAAACTTCTTGTTAAGTCGAGGATATTGGATCCTCGGCGTGAGCTTGCTTAGTCTGTGTTTTTCAAAACTATTTCAATCTTGGTGTGGAGTATAAATTGACTTCTGATCCATTAGGATGCGGTTTGTAGGTATAAATTTAAGAATCTGCAGCGACCACATACTGGAACTAAAGTTTATTTTCCCAGGGCAGGGAAAAAAAATACAAGACAAGTGTTTTTCAAATGTGGCCATATCTTAAAGAGGCCAAGTGGTTTCAATCATGGCAACTTTTAAGATGTGTGGACTTCAACTCCCAGAATTCCCCAGCCAGCCAAGTTGGAAGTCCACACATTTTAAACTTTGCCAAGGTTGAAAATCACTGGTTTAAACAATGGCAGAGCTTCAGGGTTAGGGCTGTGAAAGGAGGAATGATGGTATTATTCAGAGAGATTTCTTGCTGCTTTCTCCACTCTTTCATTCCCACAACATTTTGGAAAACTGGGTGGAAAGTATCAAGAACAGACTTTGACACCATGCTCTTGGGAGGCTGAACCCTGAGCAGTTTCCGTAGCTTTATCTCAAAATGCGAGAAACCAAATCCAGAAAACCCCCATCACAGTGGAGAAAGGGAGTCCGTTGCTTTGTGAAAGAAGTAATACAGCACACACACACCCCTTCCTCCTTCCCCTCAGGAGAGTTCCCAGTTCTCTTTCGATCCACAAGACGCTTGAAAAATGCAGGGCCACCACAGAAGACAGCAATATTCCTCTTTACTTCAGCTAAACTCAACACGAGTGCGGCTTAGGAGATTTTAACAGTTGCATTGGCATTCAAAACAGACAGACTCCATTGCCCGTTTCCAGCAAGCCTAACCATGTAAAGCCGCCTAAATGATCCAATTCCCCCACCCTTCAAATGAGGGTTACAGCAGAAATAAATATACATTTAAGATGTATTTAAGAGGAAGGAATGAAGGATGGAGAAGAGAAAAAGAAAAAGAAAGAAAGAAAAAGAAAGAAAGAAAAAGAAAGAAAGAAAGAGAAAGAAACAAAAGGAAGGAAAGAAAGGAAGAAAAAGGAAGGAAGGAAGGAAAGAAAAAGGAAAGGAAAAGAGTAAAAAAAGAAAGGAAGGAAGCAGAGAAAAAACGAAGAAGGGAAGGAGGAAGGGGAAAAAAGGAAGCAAGGAAAGAAAAAAGAAAAGGAAGGAAGGAGAAAAAGGAAAGAAGGAAAAGAGTAAAAAAAGAAAGGAAGGAAGCAGAGAAAAAGAACAAAGAAGGGAAGGAGGAAAAGAAGCAAGGAAGGAAAGAAAAAAGAAAAGGAAGGAAGGAAGGAGTAACAGAGTCATGGCCATGGATTATGAACACCTGGTTGTAAAAGGTCTGCTTCTCCGTTACACTTAATGTCGAAGAGGCCAAGATCTAAAGCAAGTGTTTCTCAACCTTGACAATTTTAAGGCATGTGGACTTCAACTCCCAGAATTCCACAGCCAGCAATGCTGGCTGTGGAATTCTGGGAGTTGAA